TCTGAGTCTGAGGTGTAAAATTAAAGAATGAGTAATTTTTCAGCTCGTTTAAACAGCTTATCAAGTAGTTTTAGTTGACTGTTAGTTTTTCAGCTTGAACTTCTTTAATTTAATTATAATTTCAGGGTTTTTTTATTTAGCTGAGCTCATATTTACATGGACACTCTTTTTACTGCAGAAGTACCTCTGGGGTAATTGTAGGCCTACTCCTGGTAGAGAATCAATGGGGCCTTTATGTTATTTGTATTAGAGGAAAACTTGTACTGAATGTTAGTGGATTTTTATGTAGGTTTTAAATCTGATTTAGAGTCACTGTAATGTTCCTGCTGACACCATTGAACCAATACGGTGACAAAAGCTCTTTTATGGCATTTGTGGGACCAAATAGTGATTTTACCCTCTCATGCTTGTGCCTGAGAACACCTTCAATCTCACAGTAACACAGCTACGACACTCCTGTAGCAACATTATGGGGTTTTTCAATCTCGTCTAACTACGCCTGCAGAGTTTTTTATTAAATCTGTGTGGTTTATAATCACGCATCGTTTCATGTGTTGCGGTGCTTGTAAGGATCCTTAACTGCACCCCACAGTTTACTGAGACATTCATATAAATGAATGAAATACTTGGAGCAGTACTTCTATATTGTACCATATTACACAGTCTTTCTTGGGTTTTTAATCTATTTTTTAAAGTAAAGTCCTTATAGGAGCTTAAGATTTGGCTGCTGCTGTAATTAATAATAGCCTTTAACCTGCTGGTTTAGCGCTCAAACATGACATTAACTACTGCACCTCTGCAGCTGCATATTCTGACACTGGACTAATACTTAAGGCAATGAGCAGGAGCTGTAACAGCTTTAGTATTTGAAATAAAGCCTTGCATGTCCACAGACTGATCTTAGGAGACTTGGCATGGTTTGTTAAAATAGGGGGGGGGTTTACGCCCTGCTGTGTAACTGAGACTTTAAGGGGATTTAGTGAGTTTGTGACACCCAGAGTCAATTCACTGAGCTTCAGGGTCAGGCCAGAGAGAAAAGACTCTTCAGATCATTTTATGTCCTCTTCCACAGTTTGTTTCCTATGGATTTGTAGAGCATTTGGTGTGTAGAGGCTGCCGTTATTATCTGTATCTGCTTAAATAGTAAAAAATGTAATAGTCATGAAGTAGTTTTGTGTCTTCAGAATGATCTTATTCTACTTTCTGTTGTGCTTCAGTAAAACTAATTCAGTCCTGTTTGAGATCCGTGGTGTTTTTAGTCTAACTTAAGGTCAGAATGATGGCTCGATAGCAGCTTTAGCTGCTGCTCTCCGTCCTAATAAAACCTACTTTGCACAGTTTTGCACTTCATCACGTTTCCATTCTCTTATTCTAGCATTTAAACATGAATCTGTTATTTCTAAACAGACTGACAAATAAAACCCAAATGTAACAACTCTGTGCCGAAACTGCTTCGTGATGTGATTCAGTGCAACTAATATAGTCCCTGTTGGAGCTCTGTGCTGCTTTAAATCTCATTTAAAATAGAGTTTGTGTAATAATACAATCTGATTTGCCTTCATATTTGTGTACTTTCTGACGTTTTAAACCTCTCAATGAAACACCAGCTGTATTGCTCTTCTGTGCCCACTGTACACTGTGCTGGTGTAATATTTCTGCACAGAATATTACTTCGTCTTTGTGTCTTCAGAGTTACATGAACTGATTTCCTTTTAGAGTTTTATGGTATTTAAAATCCAATTTAGGGCCCTAATAGTGTCCTTGTAGTCACTCAGCAGTACTAATACAGTCTAATTTCATATGCTTGTCTCTTTCCACACTTTCAGTCTCCTTTTACTGACACTGACGTGCGTCCATGACAGGTTTTTTTAGTTTATTTTAGTTTATATTTTAGCACATGCTCAGGGTTTCCTGTTGCACAAATGTGACATGTCTGGAGGGTGTGCACCACGTTCAGGTGTTTAGAGTAAACACATCTTAATCTAGGTCGTGTTTTAATGCAGCTAACTTCATCTTTTTGGAGCTTTATAGTGTTTTCAACCAAATATTAGGGACAAATTGACGCCCCTATAGTCACTGGTGCTGTCAACCATAATGCAATGTAATTTTTCACATTTTTGCCCTTTATGACGTTTAAAACCTCTTGATTTAACACCAGAAACATGTCCATGGCAGCTTATAGCGATGTTGTGGTACTTTATAGTATTTCCGTGCCCTGTAATACCACTGTAATACTCCTGCATAAAGTATTATTACATATTTGCACCTTCGGGTCATCGCTTGATACTTTATGTTGTTTTATTCCAGCTAATTTAGTCCTGCTGAAGTTTTCTAGGGTAAAAATGATGTCTGTGTCTTTAACTTAAAAAATCTAATTACCCTGAAAGCCGCCTTCATATTTTTGCAATTTAGGATATTTTAAACCACTCGATTAACACTGGATCATACCCAGGACATTCCTGCAAAGAGTTTTGTGCTTATACGACACTTTGGTGTACTTCTGCGCCCTCCTGAACTGGTGTAAAATCTCTGCAATAAAAATGACTTCATGTTTGTGTCTTCAGAAGGAAATAAACAGATGTTCCCAGAGTTTACGGTCCAATTTAGGGTCATAAAAATAATTATCCCTGCAGTCACTTCGCAGCTGCTGTCAATAGAAACGCAATGTAACTTCGTGTTTTCGTCCTTGATGACATTGTCAGCTTACTGTTTGAGCACTTCATCGTGACTCTGTCGTTGCCAGCACATGTTCGGCGCTTCTTGGAGCACAGATTTACCTGCAGAGTGGTCTCACGGTAGTTCGTGCTGTGTTTGGGAGCAGCTGCCTCTGCCCGACAGAGACTTAAAGGCGCTTTTCCTTGTGCTGTGTTTTGTGTTTTTACCCCCTAAAAGCTGCTGCTGTGACTGCAGCCCCCAGTCAGCTGTCAGTCAGTGTGACAGCAGGACAAACCAAAGTGTGCTCACCTCTCCAGCCGTCCTCCCCAGCGGCATCTTCTGCCAGGGGTCCGCCAGCTGAGCCAGAGGCATCTTCTTCTTCTGCCCCTACTTTTCTTTCTTCTTCTGTTATTCCTCTTTTCTGCTGCTCGTACCTCCCTCGCTCCGGACGCTTTCTCGCCTGTTTCTCCTCGCTCTTATTCTTTAAAGAAAATGTTTGAAGGTAGTAGTCCACTTTCAGCGTCGGCAGGAACCGAACCGACCGACCAACCGACCGAACGGAGCCGAGCGAACAAGGGCTAATTCCGGATCTGCCGCGGCGCTGAGACCGCCCCTTCCTCCGGAGAGACGAAGAGGAGGAGGAGGGGGAGGAGGACGCCCTTTTTCGGAAACTGATTGACTTATCTCAGTTTCTCTCTACCTCCACCTCTCCCTCTCTCACTTCCGTTCTTTCCCAATATGGCGGCCGGTGTCGGCTTACCTGTCCGTCAGAGCGCTGCGTCACAACTACGTCACGACGACAGGCGGCATTCTCACTTAGGTAATAAAAGAGTGAACGAGCACGTATCTGAACTTATGAATAAACAGTCTGCGATTCATCACGCAGGCGGTGTTGTTTTGTTAATGATTATTTTTACCGATAGAGCCTAACAGCGTGGCGCCAAAGTGCCTCACACAATCACAGAAAGTATGGAAAACGACCTTAAACGACCCGTAAATTAGGCCACGTGAACCCAAAACACGAAGCAGTAGCATAAAATACAAAATATTACCCCCAAAATATGCAAAATTACTTTAAATTGTCGAACAAAGACCTACATGACCAGAAAACATAAAAGGTAGCACAAAATACAAAAAGTATCCCAAATATATTCGAAATGACCACAAACTATCCAAAATAAGACACGTAACCCCATAAAAACCCATCACAAAGTACACAAAATACAGATAAAAAAACCTGCAAAATGATGACAATCCAACAATAACATGGCAAATTGCACCAAAAGATGTAAAAATAACCACAAAGCAGCCAAATGTAAACAAAATAACCACAAACCTACTCTAAATGACAACAAATGTCAAATATGCAAAATCAGTAAACACATACAAAGTGATACACCAGCAGCCGCAAAATGACTACAAAATGTCCAAAACAGTCACAAATGACATGAAACAAATTACCATAAAATATACAACATCTGCACAAAACCACCCTCAGAAATACTGAGACCACAAAAACCTGCTAAATGTCCACAAACAGCCCACAGCCCTATAAGTTATTGCAACTATACTGTAGTGAAACACAAAATAAACCACTTTTTTAAAAAAAAAAGCTCCAGGACAACATAAATGTGTGAAAACCTATGAAATGCCAAGTTACCAGAAAAACATACAAATGAACACTATGCAGTGACCATAAACCACTCAAAATATACGTATATATGAAAATCTCACAAAAACGAGAAACACGAGCACAGAAAGGAAAATGACTTCTGAAGTACACAAAACGAGATCAAAAACTAAACAATAACCAAAAACAAACACAAAGAACCTCATGAACGTAACTCCTGGATTCACCGCATAGTTTCCTTAAAGCTGTGCGTCGCTACAAAATCCAGTTTTGAATACTTTTGTCATTTTTTCCGTTTTCTGTGACAACTTTTCAGTGGTTTAAACTTACAGCATTTCATGTTGGAGTCGAGCATGAATTTCGTTCATAAAGCTTTAATAAAGCGACAACGGGGGGGGGGGGGGCAGACATGTTCATTTTTATACTATGAAGCTGACAATAAACCAGGATAAAGCCGGGGGAGAATTTTACTCTAATTAAGATGAAAAAAAATAAATAAATTTTACTCTAATTAAGATGAAAAAAATAAATAAATTTTTAGTTTTGAGCAGTTTTTCAGCATGATAGTGACATCTAGTGGTTGAGGATGGAACAACTGAACAGCTCATGGATTTCCTTTAGTTTGATCAACTGAGTCATATTTGAAGCATTACTTTGTAAACACATTTGAAAGCTGAGCAAATAAAATAGGATTCAAACACAAACACGTTTCCACTTTGCTTTAAAGTCGTTTTATTTCACAACCTTCAGTTTCCACCATTCAGACAGGTAAATAAGAAAGCTTTATATCTGTACAGGCTCAGATACAGTAAACTTTAAAGAACACAGAGGAAAGATCTTATAACAGACTCCTTTAAATTCATAAAGTGCCCAGAAAGTCTCAAATGTAGTGCATCCAGTTGCCAGCTTCAGTTTCCCCACACAAGTCCGGATGTTTGTCTTGTCAGTAGTCGAGTCAAGCAGCTAAAGTCTTGCTTTCATCTTCAGCTTATAAACACATTTTTAGAGCCATTTTATGGTTACATACACTGATATTGTGTCCTTATCCTGGACACTGAACCTGCTTCAGATGAGGACTGCTCTGGAATGAAGCTCAGGCTGCGACTCCTCATTAAAGGCGTTTTACTATCAGAACAATCCATCACATTTGCATTTCCCAAGTTTAAAGTCACACGTCTGAGGGAATATCTACACAAGTTTGGAACATTTAAAAATCTCCTGAGGGTTTAAAATGCAGGATAAACATGGAGAAGGTTTCTAACAGACACGTTTCCATGTCAGATGTTGGGATTTGTGCGTTTACAGTGCAGCATGTTTATCCTGTCCAACACCTCTGACTCCACCACGAATAATATCTCACAGTTATACAGTAAACTATAAATAAATAACACTGACAGGTTTCAAGGAAAAACCTCAAAGTCCCGAGAAGGTGCTGAGACCTAAAGTCGAGGGGGAAGGTGCTGAATGTGTGAGGGATAAAGGTTGAGTGTGTGGTCCGAGTCTAGCTGACAGACTTGAGCTTGGACCAGGGGTTTGTCCCGCGCACCTCCAGCAGCGGGTTGTTGGAGAAGATGTGGTTGCATAACTCTTCCAGCGGCGGCTCCGGGTCCGAGGTGGCGAACTGAGTCGCATCCTCCACCTGCTTACGGATCTCGATGTCGATTTCCTGACGGGAGAGAAATCAGGTGCTGTAATCCCTGCAGCTGCCGACATTTAAAACAGTTTGAAGCTGTGAATGTATCACTGCCGTCTGGACGCTCACCTTGAACTCCTCTACAGACGCCATGTTGTGGCTGAGCATGCGCTCCTTCAGCATGGAGATGGGGTCGCTCTTGCTGCGGACCTCCTGAATCTCCTCGCGGGTACGGTAGCTGCAGGAGGTCAAACCAAATTACTCAGAAAAATCACAACTCCCCCAGGGTCCGGTAAATCCAGACTTAGAAAGGTAACTCACCTGACACCTGGGTCACTCATGCTGTGTCCATGGTAACGGTAGGTCTGCAGCTCCATTATGATGGGACCCTGAAACACAAAGTGCTGCTTCACATCGATGCTCTGGAAGATTAGAGCCTTTTAGAGAGCCTACAGGAAACTCTCCACCACGAGAACCCTTCAAAATTAAAGCCCGTGGGTGTCCATGGACTTCTACCTTCACATGTATGAAGAACTGAGTGCAGCACAGAGGTTTTATTTTAAATTTATTTTTTCAAAATCTAAACCCTCACCTTTCCAGCTCTGCAGTGATC